ACGCTCAGATACGGGGGAACAGAAAAAAGGACGGGTCCTGATTAAAGATAAAAGGACATGTCCTGGTTAACGAACGGGGGGTGGGGGTCCTGATTAAAGAATGAGGGGTGGGTCCTGATTAAGGAACAGGGGGGCAGGTCTTGATTGAAGAGCAGAGGGAGGGTTAGTTAGTGGAGCGCTGAGCCAACGTACCTCACGGCCCGGGGGTCCGGAAGGGCCTGGTGAGCCGGGGGCTCCTCGAGGTCCCTGAAGAACATAAGACAGAGTGTTACACACACATTCTCTCACACCGTAAGAGGGACAGACTTTAGTGACGTTTAGTGGAATAACAGTAAAGGTAAAAACTACATCTGACATATGTAACACATTACATAACTACTGTATATTCCAAAATAATCAGGTTTACCCACGTAACTCTTAAAGACTCAAGTGGATGACACGTCCGCAGAATTGTTTCACTTACCTGGATTCCTGGCTGGCCCACCGGTCCCATCGGCCCCTGTGAACAAAATGAAAGCGTGTTGCTCCCGGGATCAGGCGATTCCAGGAAGGCGATCTATTGGATAACCTTGCTACGGAGATCGATTTACACAGAGCTGAGAGGAACAGGGGTACTGAGGGCAACTTCAAAGGGGATCTTTACACTGTACAGTAGTTGGGAGCTTCTGGGCATAGACTCTGGTTCAAGCTCTGCTGTCCTATTTCTCTTGCCAGAAACGCAACCCTCTAACACTAACCTTGAAGCTAACCTGAGCAAAGGCAAGACAACCTAGGCTGCAGCAAGCAGACAGGACCATGCATGTTGTCGTCCACAGGGGAGTCACCTGTTTTTTTCCCGAAAAATGCTCAGTACCAGTGCAGCCTGTGATATGCCCGTACCGGTGATGTTCAGTACCAGTGCAGCCCGTGATGTGCCCGTACCGGTGATGCTTAGTACCAGTGTAGCCCGTGATATGCCCGTACCGGTGATGCTCAGTACCAGTGCAGCCTGCGAAGTGCCCGTACCGGTGATGCTCAGTACCAGTGCAGCCTGTGATGTGCCCGTACCGGTGATGCTCAGTACCAGTGCAGCCTGCGATACGTACATACCGGTGGTCCGGGCAGCCCTTCCCCAGGCTCGCCCTTCTCTCCGGGGTCTCCTGGCACTCCAGGAATCCCTCGTTCCCCCTGGGAAACACAGGCAGGACTGATCTGGGTGTCGGGCTCAGAATGGAGTCCTTTTCCAGGATTAGGATGCAGCACTAAAACAGCATCATCGGGTGGCTGCAGCTGTTAGCATTTTACATTGCTCATATTTCAGTCATTCAATATTAAAACAAATGGTCGCTAGTTTAATTAAAATAACATCATAGTGTTTATATTATTTCCAGCTGAATCTGAACTTGGCAGTTTTATATAATATAAAGTCATTAAGCGTTGATTTTCCAGACTGTGAAGAAAGCTTTAAAATGTTTACATTGCGGCCTGATCCAGCACGGCTCTGGGGTGCCCCCTACCTTTGGGCCTCGGGATCCTCGGGGACCCAGTGATCCCTCCCCCTGTGAGAATAAAAACACGTTGGGGGGGGGGGTGTTATTTTGTCTCTTTTCAATCGGACATTGATGATGAACCTTGATTTGAGCTGCTTCCTGAGAGCAGGAGGGCCACACTTTGATGCCCAGAGCCCCGTAATTAACAGTGTCACAGGGAGACTGACTCACACAAACACACACACACACACAAACAAACGCACACACACCACCTTTCACTCTGGCTTCTGTTTCCAGCGAGTGCATCCTGACTTCAGGAGCCATTATATGGACTCTGAGGGCCCAGGCAAAACAAAACCCAAAACTGTCAATTTTATTGCCGTTATGTAAGTGTGAAGTCTAACTTAATAAAATCGATAACAAAGAGAATTTAATAAACACAGGTCCTTTATGTTCACTTCTGTAAAAAACAGAATAGGCAAATAAAGCAGATGTGTCACTGCAATGTGCTAAATGTAATCAGCCGCCCTCAGGGGCCCCTCCCAGCTCGGGGCCCGGGCCCCAGGGCCCACACACCTTGCCTGTGCACCACTTTGGATGCCATTAAAATGCTCATGGATATTCTTGTGTTGTGGTTGCTCAGAGTGTGGGAGTTATGGTTAGTCGCGGCAAGGTTAATGCCGGGCTCTCGTGCGGATAAGACAATTTGTGGCAGGAGCCTCGGACAAGAGACAGCTGCCCCATTAGCTGGTGGAGGGTGCTGCGCACTTGGCTTGTTAGGTGGGGAGACCCAGTGGGGCGTTTGCTCCGGTGTCCAGGACCCCGAACGCCCCACCTCAGCAAGCTGCCTCCTTGGGGTTATAAATACGATCAGTCATCACCACAGGGAGCTTCCAGGTCAGACTGTCTGCTGCTATGCTCACCCTCCAGCTAAATTATCTTATTAATGAGGGTAGAATCCTCCGGAAAAAGCACAGAGATGCTCTTTACAGACAGTGAGGGGCAAAGGGCTCAGCGGCACAGCATGTATAGATCTTCCTGTAGAACATTCATGAACCACAGCTAAATCCATGTTACTTACGAGATCACCTGGTATCCCTAATCCTGCGGTTCCGGGTTCTCCTTTGGGGCCAGGAGGACCAGGAGGGCCAGACACGCCCCCAGACTCGCCCTGAAAGGAGACCGTGGCGACTCAGCACGCGGGGGGGTGGGGGGGCACATCTCGGAGAGCTGACAGCAGTGAAACGCCTCATGTGGCTGGTGCTTCACTGCGATCTCGATTATCAGCCACCTGACACGTGGCACTGTGCAGCGTGGGAGGGGACTGCAGAAGCTCTCAGATAGCTCTTTAAAATCCCACACTGCCGTCTCACTCTCTCTCTTTAGGTGGAGTGATCCATCATTCCGGCCTTAGAGACACACATGGTTTGTAGGAACTTGGCCTATGCTGAGATATGGTGCCCATTGCAAGCCTCCCCCCATACCGTACCCAACCCCCTCCTTTTTAACACGCATCTCACCTTCTCTCCCTTGAGTCCATCCCCTCCTGGTGCTCCGGGATCTCCCGGCACGCCCTGTATGTTGTGCAGAACAGAAAACGTGCCTGTTACAGCATCCTGAGCACCTCGAGTACGTTTAACTGCTTCCCTCGACTTCATCAGGGTGGCAGACTGTCTGAACACCCCCGCGGCCCACAATCCTTTTCTTTACCCCATTTGAGCAAAAACAGATGCTCATTATGAGGAGCAGGTGCCAGGAACAGATTGGGCCCCAGCCTACATTCCTCACACACAAAGACCCAGTTCTGACTGTACCCACTAATTAATTCTCAAATTTGATTACTGATCATGTGTGTGACAATTCCCGGTTCCCCTTTCCCATTATTTGGCATGAGGTGTACGAAAGAAAGCATGGATTTCCGAATGTCGGTGACGGAGATTCATACCGGATCACCGGGAATCCCTGGGGGTCCAGGAGGGCCTGCTGTGCCTTCTTTGCCCTGAAGGAGAAAATTGCAGAGCATCACATCAGCTGAAGGAAATGCATCATCAAGGCCTTTCAGAAACCATGCCAAGGAGACCAAGCACTTAGCTCTGTCCTGACTGTCTCAGAAATTAGGTACCTGCAAAACACTGTGAAAACTGGCCCAAAACACATCCGATTCAACTTATCATTTCCCTGTCCAGAAATGTCAAATTTAAATTTTCACAAAAATAATTTCTTACTCTTTTTGCCAACCTATGCCTTGTCATTATTCTTTCAGAAATTATCCATCGCAATGCAACAATCTTTCAGTGGTTTGGCCAAAAGAAATAGTCAATTTCACCCTCAGGTTTTCTCATCAAAACCTACAAAGAAACCCCACTTAACTAGGTACTGTAACAAAATACAGAGGAGATGAAAGTGAGGCCCCCACTCATCAGGTCAGGGGGCACTCCAAAAACACTCAAGGGTAATGAACTGAGATTTTTTTGGTTTTATTTTTTGGCTTTTACCTGCCGTACCTAGTGAAATGCCCTTGATTTCATCTGAATGCTGATTCTTTACTCTGGGTTGAAAAGCACACCACTATGGATACACTTTCATGGTGTCACCCCACAGGGCACTTCTGTGTCTGGATGCTTCCCTGAACCTTAAATAATGTAAACTCATGGATAGTCATAATGGCTCGGTTTAATTTAGAATTAGATTATTATCTTCAGGCCCTGCTGCTGCCTCTGTGTTTAACCGTGCTGTTGGCTCCCTGTGTAAGTGTGCTGTGTTTTCTGTATTTCCCTGTGCTGCTAGCTCTCTTTAACTGTGCCATGCTCTCTGTATTTAACTGTGCTGCGTTCTCTATGTTTAATTATTCTGTTGGCTCTGTTTACCTCTGCCTTCGGCTCTGTTTTTAACTGTTCTGTGTTTAACTGTGCTGTGTTGTCTGTGTTTAACTGCACTGTTGACCCTGTGTTTAACTATGCTGTTGGCTCTGTGCAGTTTTCTCTGTGTTTAGATGATTATTTTCAGATTATTACAGAGGTGACTCAAACAACATGTTCATACCTCAAAGCCTGGGACCCCCACAGGACCTGGCAGCCCCATGTCACCCTTCAGCCCCTCAGGAAAGCAAAAAGAATGGGAAAAGGGCCACTTAGCATCAGCTATGCTTTACTTTGCAACCATAACACAACCTTCAATGGGACAAAGATTTGTCTTGTAGCAAGAAAGGGCAGCTCTTCCAATCAGAAACAGCTTAGCTGTAGAGCCAACACAGTTCACTAGGTTACCTTAGGGCCCTGTAATCCTTGAATGCCTGCTTCACCCTGTCAGGAAAAATCATGAATGAAAAATCAGAAGAATGCAATCCAGCAGCATCAAGCATGGGCTGAGCAGGCAGTTTACTTATATATACAGAGCTGCAGACATGAATGCTGCCGGCCTACTGGACCATTTAACTGCCTGTTTCTAATGGGGAGCAACGTTTCTTTTCTGCTCTGATGTCAACATGAAGAGCTCTCAGATGGTGATTTATCACTTATTAATTAAATCAGCCCACTAGCTAACCTTATAGGGTGTAAATTTAATACAGGAGAATCAGAAGCTGTACTTTTGGCTCAGTGTTTAACTGTGCTGCTTGTTCTGTGTTTAACTGTGCTGTGTTCTCCCTGTTTAACTGTGGTGCATTCTCTGTGTTTAACTGTGCTGCGTTCTCTGTGTTTAATTGTGCTGCTGGGTCTGTGTTTAACTGTGCCATTGGCTCTGTGTTTAATTGTGCTGTTGGGTCTCTGTTTAACTGGGCTGCTTGCTCCGTGTTTATACCTGATCCCCTTTCTCTCCTTTCTGTCCCTGGTCTCCAGTTTCACCCTGAAAGCACAGACAGCATATTTAGCATGCAGAGATCCTAAAAATGGGGCCAATTTTTAATAAATGCGGTGGTGAATCAGAGCTCACTCTAAGAAAAACAGGTTGTAAAGTGCATTTTCCAGCTCACATTTTACAGGCAATTTAGAGTCACTAATCTATCTGAAGCGTGTGGACACTGAAGGACCCGGAAGGAGCCTGCTGTAAGGCCACAGACAGCAAGGGCCGGATCCCAAGCATACCAGCCAGAGCCGGCATTATGAGTCATACAGGTATGATGGGCATTCTATCCAATGAGGAGTGTTAATGTCGACACATACGGGCAGAGGGAGGTGTCTCAAGCCATGTGCAGTCATCACCTGGGGGGGGGAAACAAAAGGGACAGGCAGTCTTATCCCCTGCGTCACACTGATTGGTAAGTGGAGAACATATCCCAAGCAATGGGGGTGGTGCCAGGGGCGGGTCTGATGATTACTGCTCTGTGGTTGTGGTTGAGACTGGTGAGCTTTGGGGTATCAAACACTTTAGATTAAGTGGAACCACAGGGGATGTTAGATTCACAGTGCTACTGAGGCCTATGACAGTGGAGACCAGCCCTGAATGTAGCTGCGGGGGGCTCCATTTGGACACCAGGGCCAATGAAAAATAATCAGTAGGGTGTCACTTGAACATGGCAAAAATGCATCAGCGTTTGAGTAAACATCAGAAGCAGGTGTTTAAATTTAAGTTGGGGGCTTAATTTGACTGTTATGGAAAATAAATGACTTGACGCAAACGCAGGTGAAACAATCAGCCTCACGCAGTCTGTGTCATTTCAAGCCGCAGTGGTGAAATCCTGCGGTGAGAGGCCCGCCGGGGCCATTGGGCCGCAACAAAGACGGCAAAGCTGGCTTGCTGAGCGGGCGCTCCATGTCGCAATAAGTGGAGGCTTTCGTTTAATAAAAGAGCAGAGTTTTACAGCTACTGCTCCAAAAATATGATAATGGTAACAAGGGTTTTCCTGCCCCTGCTGACAGCCTGACTGTCTCCCCGCCCCTGTGTGCTTTTACAAGGAACGCAACATTTAAAATGTGAACATTTATGGTGGCCAAGCCTCTCTGGGGCATCTAATTTCTTCAGGAAAACAACGTTTGCAGTCAGGGAGCACCCACACAGACCTGAACACCAACACCCACACACTAAGCTGACACAACACCTGCAGTAACCTGAACACCGACACAGACCTGAACACCAACACCCACACACTAAGCTGACACAACACCTGCAGTAACCTGAACACCGACACCCACACAGACCTGAACACCAACAC